AGGGACGCGGATAGTGACAGGATTTCAGAATGGTGTGCAGATTTCCCAGCCTTGAACCAGCAGGATGTTCTGTTCATACACAGGGAACTAAGTGACGTGGAGATAAAAAATGTAGCCTTTATGATGGGAGCCTTTAAAGCCCCGGGACCGGATGGTCTACAACCACACTTCTTCCAGTCACAGTGGAATATAATTGGACAAAAAGTTTGTGGATTTATACAGGAAGCCTGGAATAACCCTCAGAAGGTTAAAGAAGTTAATCAGACACACATTGTACTTATACCGAAAGTGGAGAAACCTGAGACACTGAAGGATTTCCGTCCCATTTCGTTGTGTAATGTAATTTTCAAAATTATCACGAAGATTATTGCTAATCGTTTGAAAGGTGTCATGAACCATCTTGTAAGTCAGGAACAAAGTAGCTTTATTACAGGGCGACAAAGTTTTGATAATGTGATCATAGCTCAGGAGGCATCCACACGATGAGAACGATGAAGAAAAAGAAGGGATGGGTGGCAATCAAGGTAGATATGGAGAAGGCATATGACCGGCTAGATTGGGGATTTTTAGAATCTACCTTAAAAAGTATCGGTTTGAAGGAAGAGATGATTGACCGGATTATGGCTTGCACTACCTCTGCATCCATGCAGGTCCTGTGGAACGGGAAAAATTCAAATAGCTTTCAACCATCTAGAGGGCTTAGGCAAGGAGATCCGCTTAGCCCTTATCTCTTTGTCTTATGCATGGAACGATTGGGTCAGAAGATTAAAAAAATGGTATATGAAGGAAGCTGGAGAGGTATTAAATTCAAACAGTCGGGACCTCTTATCTCACATCTTTTTTTTTGCAGACGACCTAATCTTGTTTGGGGAAGCTACTTCGGAGCAAATGGAGACTATAAGAGGGGTGATGACACAATTCTGTAAGGTCTCGGGACACCGAATTAATCTGACCAAATCTAAGGCTTTCTTTTCCAGGAATGTGGGGTTGCAAAGAGCTCAAGAATTTTGCCAACAACTGGGAATTAGGAGAACAGTAGATCTCGGGAAATATCTGGGGGTACCACTTCTTCATAAGAGGATGACGAGAATGGTTTTTTTGCCGTTAATACAAAAAACACAACAAAGATTGGCAGGATGGAAAAGCAGACTGCTCAATATGGCCGGTCGAACTGTGTTGATACAATCAGTGATGGCAGCTATTCCTAGTCATCTAATGCAAACAATGCTAATCCCCAAAGGCGTTTTAAAGGAACTAGAGAAGAGCAGTAGAAAATTTTTGTGGAACCAACAGGCATCAGGCAGGAAAATGCACTTGATCTCATGGGAAACAATAAAACAAGACAAGGAGCATGGTGGATTGGGTATCAAGGATCTTGTTAAACAAAACATTGCTTTTATCATGAAGCTATGTTGGGGTATACTCACCAAACCAGAAGCTCTATGGGTGCAGTGCTTAAGAGCTAAATATGATTGTGGAAACGATATATACCCGTTGATCAGTAAGAAGAGTAATTCCTCGGTAATATGGAGAAGCATTACGGCGGTATGGGAGAAGTTTCATCAGGGAATCGGAAGACGGGTAAACGATGGGAAATCAACAAATGTGTGGTGGGACTTATGGCTACCGATAAAAGAACCATTGATCCATTATGTGGATAATAATATTCACCAAATCAACCCTAGAGCCACAGTAAGCTCTTTTGTGTCAAGCATTGGACAGTGGGATGTACAGAAATGGAGAAGATTCCTACCTTCTTGGATTATTGAGTTTATTCAACAAATCAAACCCCCAGGGGGAGAAGAAGAAGATAGATTTGTCTGGAGGGAAAGTAATGATGGAAGATTTACAGTAAAAGCAGCTTATACAATGATGCAGAGGGAACAAATCAACAATTGTTGGTGGAAAAAGATATGGAAGACTCCAGTGCCGGAAAAAGTTAAGTTTTTCTTTTGGCTGGTCCTTCATGAAAGACTCCCCACAAACTCCCTCAGATCACACAGAGGGGTTGGAGTAAGTGAAGAATGCCCGTTTGGATGCCAAAGAGCAGAGACGGTGTTACATATACTCAGGGATTGTGAGATGGCTAGAAATGTGTGGGTTAATGTAATTAAGACAGAGTTTCTCTTTAAATTCCTGTCTTCTGGTTTATAGGATTGGTTGCGTTTTAATTTCAAACAGGAACTGGCAAACAAGGAGTTTAGTAGGTGGCCATGGAGTCGAGTCTTCTGCTACATATGCTGGCTACTATGGAAAAACAGATGTAGTGGAGCCATGAATGGAAATAGAATTCAGCCGACAAGCATCCGTCAGGCTTGTTTACATCATATGATTAGAGCCGGGAAAACGGGTCAAGCCTGTCGGGCCGGCCCTTTTAGGCCCTGAAATTATGAGGGTCGGGTTTGATATTTTTCTCTTAAAATGAAACATAAGCCCTGGAGGGCCGAGGGCTTAAAAAGGCCGGCCCTGGAGGGCCACGGGCCGGCCCTTTTAAGCCCTTTTATATTTTTTTTATTTTTTAAATTTTTTTATATAATATTAATGTTATTAATTTTTTACATTGTTAATAATATTTCAAATATTTAGTTATTATTATCATTTTAAAAGTAAATTTAGTTTTAGATAATAATTTATCCAATTAAATTTTTAAAAAATGGGTTAATTTGGACTTTAATAATGATTTGATTTATATTATATGCGTTGATATTTTTAAACTATATATATATTTGATAATAGAATATTTTTATACTTATATAACTTGTGATTCTATAATTTGAATTAGAAATTCATGAGTTTCAATAGCAATGTTTCTCACATTAAAGTAAAATAATAGTTAGATTGCAAAATTTAAAAATAAAATTCTTATAAAGAAGAAAAACTTGATATTTTTGTTATGAAAGAAAAGTATAATTATGAAAAAAGTAATTAATTATAGTGATGATGAAGTTTCAAAAGATTAATAATAGTGTTTATTATTGCACAATTGCATTATAGATAAAACTTTTAGATGTTGTTATCTTGTTAATGAATGTTTTAGATGTTCTTAGATGTTGATGAATATTTATATATGATGATATTTTATATGTGACTTAATTTTATTCATATTTATGTTTTTTATTAATAATTTCATTGATTTATTTTATAAAAAATATGATAAATATAAAAAATAGTATTTTTTTTAAACGGGCCAAAAGCCCGCGGGCCGGCCCTGGCCCTGTAGCTTAAGGGCCGGGCCTAACAAATTGGGATATTTTTAAAATTCCAGCCTTGAAGGGCCGGCCCTTTTAAGCCCGCCAGCCCTGAAAGGCCGGCCCTGATTCCCGGTTCTACATATGATGGAGGATTCAGAGGCGGGGAAATATAAGCATGAGATATTCAAGAGTATGAATAAGACTAGCCTAACATGGGAACCGCCTGACGAAGATTATATGCGGCTGGATGTCGATGGATCAGTTTTTGGAGATCGACAAGCAGCGTGTGGAGGATTAATTAGAAATGCTCATGGCCAATGGATTGGGGGCTTCCAGAGGAAATTGCAACCTAACCCGTCAACAGCAGCTGAAGTATGGGCGATTTTGACGGGTCTAGAGATCTGCAAGACCTTCCACATTGAAAAAGCCAAACTATATACAGATTCAATAGAAGCCATTAACCTCATAATGCATGACCAGGGCAATCATAACCTACTGGGATCCGAAATCAGGAAAATTAGAAGCATGATCTACTCAGAATGGGAGGTTGAGGTGCACTATGCATCGAGGGAGAGTATGAAATGCGCAGATTACCTTGCGCGGGAGGCCCACCAACTGATGGAGGAATTTAGAGTTCTACGGCATCCCCCACCGGGATTTATGCCATTTTTGATCAAGGATTACCCACAGATGTAGAGTTTTTGAAAGTGTTTGTGCCTGTATTTTCAAGACTTTAGTCTTGCCTTTGTAAAAAAAAAAATCATCAACAAAAAAAAAATAATTTGCAAACATCGATTTTAAAAATTATAAATGGGAATCTTATTTGCAATCTGAGAGCTATATTTCAATAATAAGTGCCTAATTCACAATAGAGATTATTGAAATTGAAATTGTCTAAATTTTTACTTTCAACTGCTTTTACAAAAAAGAAAAAATTTATCAAGAATTGATCTGCAAGTAACTTAGTGGAATTTACCCATCATTCTCACAATAAAATAATAGAGCAAGGTGCATCCGAAATTTTATTAAAATATCTTTAATAGCCATATTTATTTTCCCCCGTATAAATGGGCTGGATAACTCTACTATAGAAAAGAAAGCAAATAGAAAACAGTTTTAAATCAAAATTTAATACTACCTCTGATCCTTAATATAAGACATCGTTTGATTTTTATTTTGATTCTAAATATAAGATCTCAATTCATTTTATCTCTCATATTTATGTATTTTTTTTTCAAAGTAGTCATTTTAATAATAAAAGTTCTAACCAATAAACTTGATTAGTAAAGATATTTTAGAAAAAACAACACCTATTTATTACAAATAACTAACTTAATTTATTTTCCTAATTTTCTCAAATTAGTTAACTAGCTCTTATAATTAGGACCAAAGGTAGTGCCATACTAAAGAACAGTGAAGTGAAAAAAAAAAATAAAAAATTAAAGACTCGACTCAAGTTGATGCGAGTAACAAAGGCTCTCATCATTGATTTAAGCTAATGGTTGGAGTTGGCATCCAAGCCCTTGAATATGCAGCCAAACAAGTTGTGGTGGGTCTGCCTTTTGCCCTTAGTACTCAAGAGAATATAAGAGCTTGTGATTTCATTCTCACCAACGCCCTAGAAGCCTCGCTACATGCTGCGGATTCGACTGATATGGAATATATAATATTTATGGCTCATTGAAACTGACCTAAAATTAGACTATCATAAATCGAAGATGAACGAATTACTAAAGATTATAGAAAAGATTTAGTTAGCACAGAAGGCTATCTAGAATTTCAAGCACACGAAAAGCATGGAGTGAGAAGAAAGAAGAAGAAGCCATATTTCAAGCCAAAAGCGGCTGAAACGACGATTCATACAAAAATACAGGTACAAAAATCCTGGTATTCTGGTGTAGGAAAGCCTAAATTATCGTTCAGATATTTGTATATAAACCATTTGAGTGTATCCATTAAATACAGAATTGTCAAGTCTAGCTAGGCCAAGCCTTTGGAACAAACCAAACCGCCCATCTTCCACAATAGGAGTGGATGTGCGCGCAGGATCATATCTGCTTTGGTGGGTGAGGGAGGGACCAGCAACTGGAGGAAGTTCCCAATACACATCAAGAACTGATTCCACAAACCGGCTATTCTGAAAATGTTCTGCATATGAGATTCGCCTATTGCTATGATTGAAGTTATCACGCATGTACCCTCTAACTCCCCACCATGTTTCGCCTGGCCCACAAAGTTCTTCAATATCAACTGCTTTTTCCCAGAACTTCTTATTCCTCGATCTCATCCTAGCTTCGTCGCTGTCCCTAAAGCAGCTGTGTCCCCCTCCTACACCAACAACCAAGAGAATATGTCAATTTCGTGTACAGGAAAAATGACCAGGCATAATAAAATGAAAATATACAGCCAAGTCAACCCCCCCCTCCCAAAAAAAAAAAAAAAGGATAAAGATATCTTAATTTCTCAGTTACGAGAAAAACAAGCTAAAAATTTCACGTGATTCAGCATAAAGCTTCTGCAAACCAAAACCAGAAATTGAGAAAGGTTCTTGCATAAAGTTATCCTTGACTCGTTTTGGCTACAGAAAATGTGCCTACTAGCTATGTCAGGGCTGGTGCCAACTCTATAACATGGATAAATGGGGTTCTACACGGCACCACTGATTTGCTGCACCACCTTGTCCATGACCTAGGTGGTCCCTACATATGTTGGCTAGTGAATGCCGACTTTTGTGAGCATCCTCATGATATTGATTCCTGCAGACTTGCTAGTGCAACGCTTGTGGTGACATTGGCATGGCCTCCCATTGCTTGTTCCTTTGCCTAAGTCTGATGTCAAGCTACCAACATGTTCTTCCACCAATATGCCCAATATAACACCCCAGTTCCTCCCCTGATATTCTATTTCTCTAGGCCAAACTACTAAGGCCATCAAACATAAATAACAAAGTTTATTTTACTCTTCCCCCATTGTGTCTGATAACTGATATAACACCTCAGACCCCCTATAATTCTATTGCTCTATGCCAAACAGCCAGAGCATTCGAACAAAAATATTTCAGACATATCAAGTTTCCACAGATATCTCAAGGAAAACTACTGCAAGTCTTTCCTGTGTGAGTTACACACATTTCAGACTCAAAAAGCAGACACAAGTGGTACAAATTATACAATATACTAAATCCATGGAAAAGTGGAAGGTGGCACACCTCTGATATAGAATTGATCACATATCTGCCTCAATGAATAATGGTCTCCAGTTCCAGTGTCATAGTTATCCTCAAAGACAAGATGCTGAAACCCAGCTTTCAGAGATTGTTTAACTCTGCTCGTTAATACACATAAAAAAAAAAAAAAAAGTTAAGCGAAGGCAGTTTCAACATGATGACTGAAGAAAAAACGGATACAAGTGTTCACAAATATCCTGTAATCACCTTTTCAATTCATTTTGATGGTCATCAAAAAATACAAGAACCCGACTCAGGTCAGTAATCCCACGTTTACTCAGCTCTTTTGGCCAGTTAACACTTCCAAAATCCACAAAGTCCTTTCCAGCAAAATATGTGCAATTTCCATCAACATAGGCAGGTCCCTTTTTCAGATACTTCTCTGGATGCCTGGGCGAAAGTGAAATAATTGGTGTGTCTGGCATAGCCTGCCGCAAAACCCAAGTTGAATGTCCTTTGAAAGCACCACTCTCAATCATCAGATCTGGCTTCAGCCATCTGGCAATGAACCAAAGCCCAAAGCTGTGGTCAAAACCCATCCCATGCAAGTTATTTTTTATTGGCCGAGTTTCATATATAGGAACAAATTCTTCCAACCCCTTGAGTAGATCTTTTGACGTCCATTCAACTGTTTTACCATGTTTCGATCTGCCTTTACCAAGGATGAGATTATAAGTACCCAAAAAAGTCAACACCACGAACATAACGATATTAAAAGAAACGAAGAGTTTCTTATAGAAGAAAATTGAATTGTCACCACCCGACAAATTGATCTCATATTCCCACAAGTGACCGAATCTAACTCGATGATTTTCTACAACTACGTGCAAACTCAAACTTCAATTTTCCTTGTATAATTTTCAACAAAATGGGGATAATAAGGAAAATAGAAGTCCCTGAAATATCAACGTTTCCTGAGTTCAAAGCGTTAGAAAGAATTTTTTAGCACGGAGCTAATAAGTACTCAATGATAACTCCTACCTAAAACATTGATTAGGCCACAGACTGCTCGATAAGTGCAGAACAGAACAAATATATTCACAGATTACTATCATCTTGAAATTAAAGGCACTATCTACTTCACTTTCATATCGTGTTGTCAGCTGTCAAATGTGCCGTACGAAAAGGAGAAAAATGGCAAACCAATGGAGGTGGAGGCCGGAGGTGGAGGTGGAGGTGGAGGTGGGTGTGGGTACAATTAATTCAGTTTCAATAATCCAAGAATAAAAATAAGAACATGAGTAAATGATGAACCGGCGATGAGCATTCAGTTCATTATTTCTATTAATTCTTGCAGAAACGAAACAATTCTCAAGCTAGCATTTCCCCTCGATCTAAATGGACCCCAAAACCCAGTAATACGAACACCTAAATCTCGAGAGAGAGAGAAAAATTCAACATTGGAAAAAGGCCAACGTATTAGATCAGGCACTTACACCAGGGCACGCCGAGAGCTCCGAAATCGGATTCAAGGACGTCCGAACCGAGGAGGCCGACCCGAGAAAATGGGGAAGAGGAGGACACGCACACGAAGCCGCGAGGACTAAAGAGCAAGGATGAGACCGACAAGAGAAGGAGAAGCAAGGAGATGGCGAAAGCCCAATAGGGGCCGGAACAACTCATTCGGGAGAGGTAATTGGAGGCCCTGGTCGCGGCGTGCAGGAAAAAATGCTGGTGCTTCCTGATCTTGGATTCGTCGTCGTCATCGGCGGGGGCGGGGGCGGAGGTGCCGGAGTCGTCCGAGTGAGGAGTGTTGCGTCGAAGAGAGAGGACTCTCTCGAGCATGGTGGACGGAGGGATGATGACAGTGAGTAGGGGACGATGACGGCGAGTTGGGGTGGGGGAGTGTACCGGTGTAGGAGATGACATCCGCCCTCCCTCTTATTTTCCGTATTTTTCAACAGTGATCTTCTTTTTCTAAATCAATTATTTATTTATTTTTTCACTTCACTTGTTAAGAACATTTTACTGGGATTGGATAATATATATTCATGTGTAAATCATACTATTTATTGATGTGATCCAGATATCTTAATTACCTGCCACTAGTACTTTGTTAAGCAATAAGTTTTTTATTTGAATGGTTTAGATTTTAAATTCTTAATTAATTATTTTTAAATAAAAAATTACTTTTTAGAAAAATAATAGTTAGGATATTAACTTTATTTTATATTTTATACCTATTACAATAATTATTTTAAATAAATAAAAATTAAAAAAATTAAATCTGAAGCATTCAAATAAAATCTGAATAATCCAAATTTAATGAGTTTAAAGTGTACCACAACTATTCCACTTTGATAATAATACATTTTATAACTAACGTGAATTATGCATCTTCCTCCTACTTTTTTCTTCTTCTTCACCTTAAATTATAGTATTTTGTTATAAATATACTATTGGGTAGATGTTGATATCTCTCCTAGTCCTATTATTTCCGATATCTTACATTATTTTCAATATCTCATAATGATTTCATATTATTATAAAATCTTTAGATTATGTTAAAGTTGTCTTTATAAGTTATGGTTCTTTATATCTCTCTTATTATCTTTAACATCTTAGATTATTTTCATTATCTTGCAATTTTCTCATTCTATTATAAAATTTGTAGATTTTCTTAAAGTTGTAAGTGGCCAATAAATATTATTAAGTAAGTTGTAGCTTTAATAAGAAATATTTTCTCTTTTTTTTAATAAGTAATTATTATTTTTTATTTTTATAACACGTTATTAACGTAACATTTTTAAAAAAATAGGATATACCTTTCATGTTCTTAGTTCTCATTATTTATAACAATTCCCTCTGCCTAAATTATATCTTCGTACTATCTTATATAGTACTCCTCCGGTCCTAATTATAAGACCCAATTGACTTATTTGAGGAGATTAAGGAAGTAAGTTAAGTTGGTTATTTATAATAAATAAGTGTTGTCATTCCTAAAATATCCTTGCTAATTAAGTATATTGGCTAAAACTATCATTATTAGAAGGATTATCTTGGGAAAAAATGCATAAATATAAGAGACAAAATGGATTGGGTCCTATAATTAGGACCAAATAAAAAGTCAAATTGGGTCTTATAATAAGGACCGGAGGAGTATATACTTTCATTAATGAACTACATTAATACTTCAATAAATCGTAAGATTTATTAGGGTCAATCAATATGGGTCATGAGATTGAGAACGTGCTGCAAATTGCCATAACGATTTTTTTTTTTTTTGCTTACAATTTGAAAAAAATTCGTTGGGAAAAATTTGGAAAAATTAAATTGAAAATTTCAAATAGATTAATATTTATATTGAAAGACCTTAAAACTAAATTTATTTTAAATGACCTAGGGCAAGAAGACATTGCGCAATATAAGAAGAAAGCAGCTTCCTGATCCTTTTTTAACTGTTTCTATGAAGTATGAGCTGCTACATGCATCATAATTGATTAATTGTTCACGAATTATTTAATAAAAATTTGATGAATTATTATATTATATAGTAATTTTACAATTTAGCTTCATGTCATTAATTTTTTTGTCCATACTTACATAACCATTTGATATTATTTTAATTTTAACCCACCCCTAGGTACAAACTTATAATTATAATTATTTTATCCCTACCAAAGAAGCATGAGTTCAGGAGGGCCTTATGGGCTTTGTGGGTGGGACAGGTTGGGCTCACATCTTTCGGGCCTTAGCCTTTTTTCTTAACACACATCCGAAATTATATACAAAAGCCCACTTTTCTTTCTAGCTCGGCCTATTCTTCTGATATCTGGAGGGAAAAAAAAGGTCAGATGTGATTCTTTATCCTAGATTAATAGATTCATTAAATAGAACTAATTACGTACTTAACGGGAGCTGGAGTAGCTCAGTTGGTTAGAGCGTGTGGCTGTTAACCACAAGGTCGAAGGTTCAAGCCCTTCCCCTAGCGTGTCCTTTTCTTTTATCTTGCACAGATTCATGCTTCAACCAAAATTTCTGCATACTTTTACGGTGCTTCTGGGTCAGGCAAGACCCTTCATTATATAGAAAATTATCTTTGCCAATTTCTTTATGTTTATACTGGTCTGCCGCTTCTGTTCATGGTTATTCCCTTTCTCAAAACATTTCCTTTTTTATTCTTTCAGTCTAACTTTGAAGGTTTTAACAGTGGCTTAGATCATGAGCTCATAATGAAGCTGGCTTCTTAACATATTCAGAGATTCGCATCAGTGCCTGGGATGAATAAAATATTTGGATAAGTTACTGCAATCTCTTTAACTTCTCCTTTTCAATTCTCAGGTTATTTTTGTTCTTTAGAGGACACAACACCCATATTCGTCTCACATCACTAGTATATAGAATCAATATAAACTTATTAAAGTGAGCCTGTAAAGTACTAATATTTTATTAAGCCATCAGCTGAAATCATACAGTGCGGTGTCAGATGATGTAAAGTGAATACGTCAGTAAATCTTGTTAGCTGAAGTTATAAAGGCTTTAGATGATATAAATAAAAAATTAAGAGAAACTTATTAAAATGGGTATATTATAGATCTCACTTTCTGAAACACTACATGCACTTAGTCATTATAAGGAGTTACTGAGAAAAGCTAAGATTTTAAAGAGGTTATTAATTGTTGTCGTTAGTTTACAGATATATGCATATTTTATTCACAAAAAGTAGTTTCCACGACTGCGATTTCCAGAAGGTTCATTTACAGGTGAGTCCTTCTCTTTTATCTTGCACAGATTCATGCTCAACCAAAATTTCTGCATACTTTTACGGTACTTCTGGGTCAGGCAAGACCATTGGTTTTTTATACGTCAAATTGGCAACTTCTTTTCTACTCTTTTATTCAGCTTGTTCAATTTCTGCAGTTTCTGGCTTCAGTACCTAATTCTTTTTTAAGTACCACAGGCTCCAATCACTCAAGTTTGTCAATCACTGCATCATTTTTAACCGTTTCTTTGCTCCTGGCAATATAATACCCATTTCAAGACTATAATTATTGAAGAATCCACCATTACATTGAATTCTACCCACAGTATCAGTATCTTCCAGCATTTTGCAGCTCATCTGACAATAGCTCAAAGAGAAAACCCCAGAGAAATAAACAGGCTTGTGGACCCTCAAACTTTGATATTTTAACCCATTAATGCTTTTTCTTGTCTTTGTATTGCTTGGCTTCTTTTCCATGGAAGAGCAATCATTCTCACTGGCTGGGCCACACATACACCTTTCGGCCATAATGAACAAAAGTAATGGAATGAGCATCTCCATCAGAAGCACAGTGGTGCCACCTTTTATATTCACAAATTGAACAGACATCTTGCTTTGTTGGAATCCCATATTTTCAATCTCCCTTTATATCCACAGTCTAATTTCCCACCTTTAATACGTTATCTCAATCTGCTCTTTCCATCTGTCGGTTTGTGATAATTTCAAATTTTCAAGTGTTTTTTGCTTTTAAGTTACTACTCAACATAGCAAAAGAAAGACTACTGTGTATAACTTGTCCATTGCCCTTGTACGAACATTGCAGAGAAAGATGTCTCCTCAAGCTTCTTCTTCTTCTTCTTCTTTTTTAAAAATATTCTGGGATATTCAATTTTGCATTGTCTTGCATGTTTTCTGCCCTATTCCTCCAAGCATAAAAGACGAAAGAAGCAGCAGAAAAAGAAAACCAGAGATAAAAAAGCCTTGACATACACCAAGCCTAATATTGAATCTTACAGCTCATGATGATAAATTAACCCCAGAAACGTTTTACAACTGAAGCGAAGATATCAAAGAAGAAAAAGAAAGAAAAAGCAAGCAAAGCATGCATTTCCCTTCTTTTATTACGGAGAAAACAAGCAGGAATCAGCGAGGCAGTCAATCAGAATCAGAATATCAGAATTAAAACTCATTAGCCAAAGGTGCATGTTCAGAGTGCATGAAGACATTGGGATAGATAAGGCCAGCCAAGCCACCACCAACGAGGGGTCCAACCCAGTAGATCCAGTTGTCACGGAAGTCGCCGGAAGCCACGGCGGGGCCAAAGGAGCGAGCCGGGTTCATGGAGCCACCGGAGAAGGGGCCGGCGGCGAGGATGTTGGCGCCAACAATAAAGCCAATGGCTATGGGAGCAATGGTCCCAAGAGAACCCTTCTTGGGGTCAGCAGCTGTGGCATACACAGTGTAAACCAAGGCAAAAGTGATAATAATCTCCATAACCACTCCTTCTATTGCTCCCACTCCGGCAGCCACGGTGTGAGTAGGAGTTGTCTGAAAACAAACAAATCACCAAAACACAGTTATATAAGTTGGGATTCAAAACTCTCAACATAAAAACTAAATTAACATTTGCAGAACTGATTGACTTTTGCAAATTGAAGTTGGGTTAAAAGTCAATTAATTAATCTGATATGATTTATGTTTAGATAATCAGTTTATATCTAAACAAAAACTTAAAGCCACAGGGCCAAAAATCCGAAAAAGTTGTTTCAACTTTAAAATGCCTTCTGAACCAAAAGCCATTTTATGCAAACATTGATCCAAATATGCACTTTTGGGATCTCAAATAATGGGTTTTGAAAAAGCATAGGGATATAAAGATGAAGATATATACCATGCCTCCGGTGACAAACTTGAGGAGGAAGCTAGCGACAATGGCGCCAACAAGCTGAGCAATCCAGTAAAAGATACCAGTGAGGATTGTGATCTGGCCTCCAATAGCCAATCCAAAGGTCACTGCTGGGTTCACATGGCCTCCAGATATGTTAGCTCCAATTGAGACTGCCACAAACAATGCAAATCCATGACATATTGCCACTGCCACTAACCCTGCGGGATCCAGTGCTGCATCATGCGTCAACTTTCCTGCATTTTCCAAACAATCACTCGTTAAAACCCTAAAAACCACTTCCACACAGTCACTTACTTGTAATAATCTGAGGTGATGTGAGGAAACGTGAAGGAAAACGATGGAACTAACCATAGGCTATGGCGGAACCAACACCAGCAAAAACAAAGAGGAAGGTTGAGATGAACTCAGCAAGGTAGGCTTTAATGGAGCCCAGGCTGAAAGAATCGTCGAAGCGTCCGAAAGCTATGGCCATCTTCAGAATTTTTCTATAGGTAGAACCAGAGAGAGAAGATGACAGACAAGTGTTGAGAGTGGAGAAGATTATGGAAGAAAAGGCTCCCCTGAGACGATATATATACTCATTACAACTTGCCAAGTTTAGTTTTGAGGCTTACCCAATAAGTTACTCTCATATTCTCTAGCCTCTAGAGTTGCATTTATTATTGTTATTGTACTGTATATCTTTTCTTTTTCTTTTTTTCAAAATAATTTATTATTATCAAGGTAGGCGATTGCTTTAAATTTCTTTTGTGTGATTTTGAAAGTACACCCACGTCATTTAATCAAGCAGGAGTGTTCAATGTTTTAGATTTTATACTTGTAAATTATTCTCTAGAAGGTGAACAAACTTCATTAAAATAAAAATCTTAAAGTTTTTCTTAGCTATTGGGGTAAATATTTTAAGTTTTGTTTGAACGTCGGTTTGAAGACAAAAGCAAAAGAGAAATTACATTCAAAGATCACTAAATTTGAAATACTTGCATAAAAATCTTTAAATCATAGCTAAAGTAGAAGGTTTGATCTAATTAGCTGATGAGATGCAATTTATTATATAATTCGCCATGAATATGAAAATCCTATTGATAGACTTATTAGTTAAATCTTAAAATATATTAGTCCTGATAGAACTCTAAACTCAACTCACTCAAATTTTAATTAAATAAAAAATAGATCCTGAATATCTTACATATAGCTTGTAGTAAGTTGCATTATTTACTAACAATATGGTCTCTTAAAACTTTTAAAAAAATATCTTTGATATTAACTTTTAATATATGAAAATAACTATAATCTTTAGAGTTTTTTAAAACTATAAACCAATGAAGTTTTTATATGAGGATCAAATGAACAGCACACACAAATATTTCAACGCATAAACACACATGGCATAAATAATTTTGAATCTATGACCCTCCTTTTAAAAAGGAGATTGGTGCCACCAGACCCAAGTTTCTTTTTTTCTTTTTTTTTTGCATAAACTTAGGAAGTTCTTTTCATTAAGTACAAGTATTCTTTTATTGAACACACCAAATATAAGCACTCTTCTAGTAGTGATTTAAATTTTGGTTCATCACGTTGTAAAGAATTAATTCTCTCTATTAGACTCAACATATTCACCATACTGTGAGTATTAATTCTCTCTGCTAAACTCAATTCTCATTGGTTGGTATGAATACTTGCATATAAATTTTTGCACGTGAAAATGGTTAGAGTCCAAGAAAATTAAAGCATGGGCAATCCAATATGGAGGGGCAAGCTTAGCTGGCAGTAACGTGAGTTATTAGAAATGTCCAGAAGCAAATGAATGATTCCTCCATGTGAGCAGGAGAGAGAACAAAAGGGGATTTGCATTGGGTGCTCATCAGGTGATGAGCACCAATGCTCATCACCCATCTGGACCGTCCAGATCTAATCTGGACGGTCCAGATTTATTTTTATTTTTATTTTTATTTTTTAAAAAATAATTATTTTAATAGGTATAAGATAAAAAATAAAGATAATCTCATAACTATCATTTTTTAAAAATATAATTTTTTTTATTTTAAAATAATTATTTAATAATATTAAATCTGGACCGTCCAAATTAAATCTGGACGGTCCAGATTGCTCATCAGGTGATGAGCATTGGGTGCTCATCACCTGATGAGCACCAAATGGGAACCCAACAAAAGGCGGTGTTTGGTGGGACACAAAAAATGATCATCAAAGCAAAAGAGGCGGGCGACGGTGATATGAATTTGCTTTGGACCACACATTGCACCGGCCATGCCCTCCAAAATGGCTCCCCAAGTTTGGACTTTGAAAAATTTGTGGATACAATCTCATTTCAGGGAATTAAATTTAATTCATAGTTCATGTGTTGGATTTATCTGGAGATGATATATTAATTAAGAAGAATCTTGTGGACTTTTCTAGCTCCCCTGCTTGATTAACGCACAAGCGTTTCCTAAAAGGGCTGCTTAATCATAATTATGATCTCATTATTTTGCATACAGGATAAAGTTTTATATTGTATTCATTAATAAGATACGCAAAGTATTGCTTTTTGAAATATTTTTGGTTTTATCCAAGAACAAAAGAAAAAAGAGGTAAAGGGAGCTTTATATGTTGGGCTTGGGGTCATAAAGGAAGCTTTCGGATATCCCCATGTGATTCTTCTGTCTTGTGGGATGGTCCAAAAGTTGATATGATCACCGAAACGGATAGTGAATGCTCATCCATGAACAATGCTTTCGGAGTTTTTTCTGTTTGTTTATCTGTTCATCTATTTAGTTTTTAATGAGGTGGGTCACAAGAGCTCTTCCATAGTGTTTGATTTTAACAAAAGGAAAATTAAGGGACTTTACCCATGAAAAAGGAAAAGGAATGAATGTTAAATCTTCCCTTGGTATTTGATAAATGTACGTTTGATTTCATTATAAATCAATACTTTTAACACTTTGTGAGATAAAACTTCTCTCATAATCATTCAAAATAATCTTATTAAAATTTGAAGAACCAATTTTAGTCAGTTTCAAATCTCCATTTTTAGATTAAAATCAATGTTTTTAGAATCAAATCCAAGGATTGAACCGATCAAAACACGGATTCAAGTTTAATCATTGCAACAGCCAAGGAAAATGCTCCTCATATTCAATACATGGCCCAATGTTCCTGTAATATCAATTCGCCCGGCTTTCACATCTATAAGGAAGTCGGAAATGCTAATCATTTTGGAGATAAAGAAAATAATCATCCTTACTTTATATATACTTACATATAAACAAAAATAATTGAACAGAAATTAAAAGAATATAATAAATATTGTAGAGAAAGAATTGTTCCTCAAACAAATGGGACCAGGTCTACTGTCTTCCCAAATTTTTCACAGCTTAATTTCGGCTAGAAAATTGAACCACACGCGATAATAACCACATATGATCAGCTGTTGAAATATTAGAAGTTTGAGCCTCAAGAACTATTAGATATGGTCTAATAATGAAATGTGTGAGTAATTACCACCACAGCATTTATCAATAAAATATCATAAATTGATATGGGAGTTTTAACTCCTACGTATAAATGATGCGATATGATGTGAGAAATACAAGGATGAACACTGCTTCATTAATAGCATTGTGTTTGTGGGAAACATGTGTGGGATAGCAATCAAATCAAGAGACGTCTCTTTGGATCCCTTTAGGTAGTCGCATTGACAGTAATTATGGATCCTAATAGCGGACAACCAAACATAGAAGAAGGTGGCCAACAAAATCACAGCAAGGATTGCTGTCTGTCTGTCTGTAATCAATAGCATCCATGGCTGAGTTTCATTCCCATTTGCAGCAAACTTCAAAGTATCAGATGAAAAAGGAAAATAGAATTGAAAATAGTTTTGAAAATTAAAAAAAGAAAATCATATTCTCAATTTTATTTTAAAAAATAATAGCAAACACAAGAACTACGAAGTCAAAATGAAAAAGTCAACTTTATGGGGCCGTAGGGCCAGGCTGGACAAGTCCTTTTAGGATTGAACAGACTGGGATGGTACCACAACTCTGGCCCATATTCATAACTGTAGTTCTCATCAGATGAACAGCATAAAATAATTTCACGGTGTAACTCGCAAAAGAAGAAAAATAAATTTCATTGAGGGATTTCCGCATATCATAATAACTAAACTGATAGAGCAATGATTAATATTCTAACATTAGTTATGAAGAACATTTTCACAGATATGAACAGGAGGAAGTTGAAGTTTACAAGAAAGCCATTTCAGGGAATACATTTGAAACTAAGAAGTTAGAAACCAAGACTGAGTGAGATCTTTATTCCAGCAGAAAAGAAAGCTGACTAATCATATCATTAATACATTAATCATTCTACTTCTACCTCCATATTTTCAGGAAAGGGTATTGAAGCACAGCAGTGATAGTATCCATTTTCATCAAAGCAAAATCTCTGGGACAGATGTGCTTCTCTAATGGGATACTCTCCCCAATCCTCTGATCCGTACCGCTTGTATATGCCCCGTGCATCAAAAGAATCAAACTTTTTCCTCTTCGTCCTGAACACCAGAAGCTTAGATTAGCTAATAGCTGTTTGAGCTAGAATATCTTGGGAAACTCCAAAATAATACCTTTTTCTATGCCTTGCATTCATCACAGTTGCATGCAACTGCAAATCAAAAAACGAATATCTTGATGAGTGCTCAAAATAAACCAAATCCACAAAAAAAAAAAAGCACGGAAGAGGGAGATTCTGGTTGCCAGAGTCCCAACCCAAGCATCAGGACAGATACTTTGCATTTTGGCTTTTTCATAAGCAGCATTTCCAAAGGCGCAAACACACATGTCTGATGTTTTCTTTTTTTAATTCACAATCAGTTCAGAATGTGTTTTCTTTTTTTTTATTCACAATCAGTTCAGAATGCACATATCATTCTAGTATATATTGTGCCTAAACACCCAAAGGAGGAATTTGGCAAGTATACAGGTGACATCGTGTCAATATCTGGGTTTACACAAATTGTGTGTGTGTAAGAAAACAAGCTGTCATTCTACTGAATAGCATCAATACCAAAAGGAAGATAAAATCGTCACACCAAAACTAGCTCAATCAGATGTATATATTGATGTTCTATTACCCTTGATCCAAAAGAAACAAGGTATGGGAATAATTTATCATACCTTCAGCTTCTGATTAACATCATTCTCCAAGACAAGTCCAGCTTCAACATATGCATCAATAATGATTTCTAGAAAAGCTCAGGAAACTCAGATGACTTTGTACGAGACTAATATATGATCTAAACCAGACAGAATTAACATCACTATTTACGGGTTTAGAGCATGCTTGGTTTTACATTGAAAACCATCAAAACTATGGGGAGATCTTTAGTAGGTCCCTTCTCCTTACTTCAATAAAGATTTTATTAACCCTATGTTCTTGTAATTTCTTTTCTATGAACCTTGTTTATTTTTTGTTCATCGTTTATACTATGCAGACTACCACTGTCCTAGCATCATCTTAATTTCTTGCTTGTTAGTTCTTGCACTTTCCC